TATATATATAAAAAAAAATATATATATATATATATATATATATATATATATATATATCCCCCCCCCATCAATTGCTTACTGTACCATCATGTCACTGCAAACCCATATGACTTTATTTCTTCTATGGAACACAAAAGGAAATGTTTAGCCGAATGTCCAGACTGCTCTTTTCCATACAACAAAAGCAGTGACCAGGATCTGTCAAGCACTGAAAAATGTCATAAAACAACCATAAAAGTACAATAATATTAGTCAATATAACAATATAACTAGATTTGTACATTTTATGAAGAAAATGTGAATATTGACATGGCAAAACCACCTGCAATTCCTTACTTTGGCAGTGACAATGCTTCTAAGGCATTTCTAATAGTGGCTAGGGAGTTCAGGAGCTAAGGTGTTCTGAGTGGTTGTTATGGTGTTGCTATGCTATTGCTAAGATGGTGGTTGCCAGGGTGTTGCTATGTGGTTACTGAGTGTTCTGAGTGATCACTAGGGAGTTTTGGGGGGTTGTCAGGGTGTTGCTATGCAGTTGCTGAGGTAGTCAGGGTGTTGCTATGCAGTAGCTAAGGCATTTCTAACAGTAGCTAGGGAGTTCAGGAGCTACGGTGTTCTGAGTGGTTGTTAGGGTGTTGCTATGCAGTAGCTAAGGCATTTCTAATAGTGGCTAGGGAGTTCAGGAGCTAAGGTGTTCCGAGTGGTTGTCGGGGTGTTGCTATGCAGTAGCTAAGGCATTTCTAATAGTAGCTAGGGAGTTCAGGAGCTAAGGTGTTCTGAGTGGCTGTTATGCAGTTGCTAAGGTATTTCTAATAGTAGCTAGGGAGTTCAGGAGCTAAGATGTTCTGAGTGGTTGTTATGCAGTTGCTAAGGTATTTCTAATAGTAGCTAGGGAGTTCAGGAGCTAAGGTGTTCTGAGTGGTTGTTATGCAGTTGCTAAGGTATTTCTAATAGTGGCTAGGGAGTTCAGGAGCTAATGTGTTCTAAGTGGTTGTCAGGGTGTTGCTATGCAGTTGCTAAGGTATTTCTAATAGTAGCTAGGGAGTTCAGGAGCTAAGATGTTCTGAGTGGTTGTTATGCATTTGCTAAGGTATTTCTAATAGTGGCTAGGGAGTTCAGGAGCTAAGGTGTTCTGAGTGGTTGTTAGGGTGTTGCTATGCAGTTGCTAAGGTATTTCTAATAGTGGCTAGGGAGTTCAAGAGCTAAGGTGTTCTGAGTGGTTGTTAGGGTGTTGCTATGCAGTTGCTAAGGTATTTATAATAGTAGCTAGGGAGTTCAGGAGCTAAGGTGTTCTGAGTGGTTGTTATGGTGTTGCTATGCTATTGCTAAGATGGTGGTTGCCAGGGTGTTGCTATGTGGTTACTGAGTGTTCTGAGTGATCACTAGGGAGTTTTGGGGGGTTGTCAGGGTGTTGCTATGCAGTTGCTGAGGTATTCTAGTAGTGGCTATGGAGTTTTATAGCTGGTTTTATAGTGGTAGCTAGGTTCGTCCTAAGTGGTTGTCAGGGTGTTGCTATGCGGTCACTGAGTGTTCTGTTAGGGAGTTTTGGAGGGTTGTCAGGGTGTTGGTATGCAGTTGCTAAGGTGTGCATATATTATCATCAGCACTGAACGCCCAGTGATCGCCTGGAGCTCACATCTCCGAAATCGGCGAAGCAAATTTTCAAATAGGTGCTATCATTATAAATAAACCACATATTTGAGTTTTAAACAAATACCTTCTCACCTGTAAAACTGTTAAAACTACGTTTCATGACACAATAACAGTAATATTTTGAAAATTACGCCATTAACACTCACTGGTTGGTGTGAAATGCATTCTGGGATACCGGGCTGCCTCAAGTTCGCATAAGTCACCTCTTGATGCATCCTTGGTAAAAGGGGCGGAGTAAGAACACATCCGGGGATTTGAAGTGTACTTGGCTAGAAGTGAACTTTGAATTGGAACAGTGCTTGGGCAACGACTGATGACTTACTATCTAAAGTGAAAACGCTCCACCCTCAAGTCTCTGAGATATTCCGCTCTCTAGATCACAAATACTAATTATAACTATATTACATTCTGGAGTAAATATATCCATAATAATAGTGACACTTACCTTACTAGACATCACTAATCATTTCAGATTGCTCAGGAAGTCAAACTCATGTTACCAAAAACATGACAGGAGGCAGAGGCTCCACACCTGGTCACATGATTAGTCACCAGCACCAGGAAGACACGCATTACTGGAACACACAGGAATTTTAGGGCATTTCCAACTCACTTCTTCTCAGCTCTCCTTTTCCTTTTCTTGGTTGCTCACTTTCTATTCTCACTCCTCCTTATTCCATAACCCTCCTTTCCTGCTTCCCTCAATCATACAGCATGGTTCTTGTTATCTGTCGTTTATATGATCAGGTTTTATGACCCATTTAGCTGTGATTGAGTGTTTGTACTCACTACCACACACACACGGAATGACATCAAATGTAGCTGATGTGTGTGTGCTCACCATTTCTCATATCATAAATATTTTAGGGAAATTCTTCCTTGAACTCCTTTATATCTCTCAGTGATAAGCCTTCATATAGAAGAAGTCAGAAAAACAACTCAGAAGAGGGATTTTAAGAGTTACAGACTACCGGCACACCCTGATATCCCAACAAAGGTAAAGATGAAAATCAGCTCTCTATTTGCCTGTTTGTTGTTGTTGTTGTGTTTTAATAAGTTTTACTTCCTGATACTCAATAAACATGATGTCAGGCAGGATGGCTTTCCTGAGAACCGTTAAGTAACACGCCACAACACACGCCCATGTCTGCGGATGAGTGTGTTAGTAAATGCAGTACTGTCCTGTGTGGCCTGCTGCCACTGAAAGGCCATGAAACCAAAGCACCACGTGCACAAGGCAGGAATTCTAAGAAGAATCTGCCCTCTAGTGGCCAGATAGAGCACACGGTATTATTTTTTCAGTATAATGCATACTGTGCACAGCAAACACATTTTATTTTATTTTTTTACTACATTTCAAAACGTACAATATTCAGCAAGACAGACTGTGTGGAATACCGTATCTCACAATCCAAGAAATATTTTCAAATATGCAATATATTTTTAACATCTGTGTTTTGGACTGTCAAAATGTTGTTTTTAAAGCTGCACATATTTCATATTTTTAATTATATTTTATATTATATTATATATTGTATTATATTATATATTGAGCAGGGTCAGAAAATAGCCACCAAAATTCTAAATGAGGAGATTTTTTCTTTTACTTGTACATCCAAATCTTTATTCTTTTAAAATACAAAGTATTTCTTAAAATGCTACTTTGGACTTGGATAATTCAATATGCATGAAGATACGAACTGCTGTAAAGATTTTTTAAACATTAAATATATATTTGAATATATTGAATAAATTACATATTATTTGTTCATTTGTGAGCCTGGAGCACAAAAGCAGTCTTAAGTCGCTGGGGTATATTTGTAGCAATAGCCAACAATACATTGTATGGGTCAAAATTATCAATTTTTCTTTTATGCCAAACATCATTAGGATATTAAGTAAAGATCATGTTCCATGAAGATATTTTGTAAATTTCCTACCGTAAATATATCAAAACTTAATTTTTGTTTAATAATATGCATTGCTAAGAACTTCATCTGGACAACTTTAAAGATGATTTTCTCAATATTTAGATTTTTTTGCACTCTCAGATTCCAGATTTTCAAATAGTTGTATCTCAGCCAGATATTGTCCGATCCTAACAAACCATACATCAATGGAAAGATTATTTATTCAGCTTTCAGATGATGTATAAATCTCAATTTTGAAAAAATGACTTTTAAGACTGGTTTTGTGGTCCAGGGTCACATATTGCCAGAGGTTAAAATATTTAAAATTAATTTAATTTATTTTTATGTTAAATTTTATAACTGGATGCAACTTGTCAAATTAAACATGCAATGTATTTATGTCATATGACAATATTTTAGCGTACATAAATATTGTTTCACATACGTAGGTAGCACTATTTTTACAATTTTAAATAGTGGAGGCTTTATTTTTATTTGGTGTTTTTTTTTTTTTTTTTTTTTTTGTACATTTTGGGACTGATGTATGAAAGAGACTTATTCCCCATATCCCATATCACTATATGTAAAATGTTATTCTGAGTCTAGATAATTATAATAATTCATTAGATGTAAATAAACTGAAGCATTTGCCGCATTTATGTTCAAAACCATTCCTTTTTGATAGTATACGTAGTATACAGTATGTATGAAGTATGCTAAATGTCAGTAGAAATATAATCGGTGCAATACAGGCAACCAGAGCTCAATGCGTGAAATACTGCAATGCATATAACTGTATAACCTGTAAGTTGATGAAAACGTAATGCGATGCACTCACTGCCTCAGAAGCAGCCGTTCTAATGACGGACAAAACACATAATGCCGTCATCCGCTGGTCAAAAACCAAACCCAAACTCCATTTGAGCTAGATTTTCATAAAATGTTAAGTGCAAGTGTTTGACAAAGCCACAATACCAACTCTGAGTTTGATAAAGCCCCCCCGTATTTTATTTTTTTTGCCATATTTCAGTGCTTAGTGGTGTGCCGTGGGATTTGTTATTTATCAAAACTGTGCCGTGACAGAAAAAAAAAGGTTGGGAAACACGTACTGTGCAGTATGCAATATGCCAGTGAAAATAAAACTCATTAGTCTCAGGTCAAAGGTCAGCCTGATGTTTTTAGCTTACTTTATTGAATTCATGTTCGTTATTTACATATTACCTGATAATTATTGTGATTTAGGCTACACATTTCATTCATGATATTCGCTGGCTGGTTGTCCAGCAGTGTGCGTCAACAGTGTGTGGTTTGAAGCTCATTTGTCTGGTTGTTGTTGATTGGTTCACAGGGGCAGAGGTCGCTGCCGGGGTCGTTTCCAGGTGCGGTGCTGGAGTTATGCATGCCGTAAGGTATCGTCCCATTGGCTACAGGCTGATGCAGGTGTGTGCTCCACTGAGTAGAGATAACTCCGCCCCAAACTTGACGACTTTCCTGAAAACTCACGCAGATTGCACAGATACGCCCCTTTTGCTCACAGCCACGCCCACTTCTGTCGCGTACCCCCAGGTGCCTCGTTCCGCCCCGCCCCCCTTTGTTACGCCGACTGAGCGAGACCGTCTGCGCTTGCGTGTAGCGCGTGGCCACGGACGCCAGGTCCGAGTGGGAGGAGGTGCTATCGATGAGTCTTTTCCCGAGCGCGAGCGGTCGCAGAGGCAGCGCGAGCCGCAGCAGCTTCCAGAAGCGCGAGTCCGTCCGCTCGGAGCGCGCGCCGTGCCAGCGCACGCAGGTGGAGTAGTTGCGCAGCTCCGCGATGTCGCCGCAGGGGGCGCTGAGCGCGCGCCGTCTCACGGTGATGAGGGGTGCGCGCGACGTGTGATGCAGGTACAAACACAGACGACACTCCAGCAGACTGATGCTCTTCTCGCACAGACAGTCCGAGCTCAGCACCACCAGCAGCCGCCGACACGCCTGCATAGACCTGAGGACCGACTCCATCAGATCTGAGACACACACACACAGCAGGCGCTGATTACACTTCCTCTGAAAGAAATGAGCACTTCTATGCAGCAAGGATGCATTAAACGGATCAAAAGTGACAGTGAAGACATTTAGAATGTTACAGAAGATTCCTATTTCAAATAAATGCTGTTCTTTTGAACTTTCTGTCCATCAAAGTATCCTGAAAAATAAAATGCATCACGATTTCCACAAAAATATGAAGCAGCACAACTGTTTTCAACACTGATAATAATCAGAAATGCTTCTCCAGCAGCATATTAGAATGATTTCTGAAGATCGTGTGACACTGAAGATTCAGCTTTGATCACAGCAATGTTAAAACATGTTGGTACTCTTGCTCACAAATATACAGTATAATCTCACTGTAAATGTGACTTCTCAAGAGGAATTCTTATTATTTCAGTTGAGATTTAACTTGAGTCCTTTGTTTTGGGTTGATCAGTGCGTGAAGACTGTTTTTTCAGCTTTCCCACATATACATATTTTAGACATCAACCATTCAATCAACAAGAATAAATAAATCAAAAGTAAGCATCACAAGTAATCCACAGCACTCCAGTCCATCAGTCAACATCTTGTGAAGCCAAAAGCTGCATGTTTGTAAGTTAAAATATGAGTCCATAATCCATAATAACGCTTCTTCCAGTGAAAAAGCCCATCTCCTGTTGTCTCACATCAGAATCCACCACATATTTGTTTAGAGCTGTTTTGGCTTGTAAACGCTGCTTGATCTGTGCAGATTTCTCTCCTGATTCAGACCAGACCACTTTTTCACTGGAGGAAGCGTTATTATGGATTATGGACTCAGATTTTGTCCTGAAGCAATGGTCTAAAGTTAAAAACATCTTAATGCTGGATTTGTTTCAGCTTTTGTCTTCTCCAGATGTTAACTGATGGGCTGGAGTGCTGTGGATTACTTGTGGATTATTGTGATGTTTTTATCAGACTCTCATTCTGACGGCACCCATTCACTGCAGAGCATCCATTGCTGAGACACTGATGCAATGCTACATTTCTCCAAACCTGATGAAGAAACAAACTCATCCACATCTTGGATGGCCTGAGAGTGAGCACATTTTCAGCAGATTTTCATTATTGGGTGAACTATTACTTTAAACTAATGGCAGATGGTACATTTTTGAATGACTTTTGAACTTTCTGAATTGCCAATGGAAAAAAATACTGCTAAAACGAAGGAGGCTGGAAACATGTGCAATCACTGTTGCGATATATTTAGACGTATGTTGGGTTTTTCTTTCCTGAGAATCAGAACTGAGCTGATCTGGCTTCTCCAGACCTCGAGTTGAGAAACACACACAAAACCAGATTCACCGGGGCAAGACGGCATGTGATTGGTTGAGGTTTACCACTTCCTCTATTCACTGATGACTGAAAGGAAATGCTTACGCAAACATTTCATCATCCATGATCATGAGTGTAAATAATGAACATGGACATCAGCTGCTGTCATGGGATGATCGGGTTCAGTATGAAATCATCATGAGAAATGTAATGAAATGAATAAATGAAACCGGTGCAGATGCAAAAATACGTTTTTATTTATCAAAGCAGTTTCAAAATGTGATCACAGAACATACTGGACATGACATGCTCATAAATGAAGAACACAGTGATGCATGACAACAACAAAATAAACATACAAAGAATCAAATGCAATTGAATGAAAACAGCTGGAGGTTTGTTACGGAGCATGAAAGAGGGAATGAAACCTCTAAAACCCTGTTTTATAGCACGCTATTTCAGGTGTCAGAGATTGGCAGCAGTGGCGTTTGAAACCACAGTGGAGATGATCTAGTGCAGATGAGCGCACTACAGTCCAAACCCACTGCAGCAGGGTCTCACGCCCCCTGTCGGTTCTTGAGGGAACTGCAGGGGGTTTGAGAGGTGATAAAAAGATCATAAATCATAATCATAAAATTAAATATTTTTTAACTAATATATATATATATATATATATATCATTAATGGACATCAGAGAACGATGAATATGCAAATGTTAAATAATTTTGTTAAAATCATTTTGTTAACTGAAAGTTGAAATAAAATATAAATACTATATGAAAAACAAAAAATATAAAAATAAATGCTAATTCAAAATATCAATAATACTATAATAGTACAAAAACACTGGGAATCCCTAATGAAAACTTAACGTAATTAACTTAAACGGAAATTAGATATGTTGCCTTGGCAGCTAACGGAAATACAATAACTTGAAGCACTAAAACTGAAATAAAAAAAATTATATATATGTGACCCTGGAGCACAAAAGCAGTGTTAAGTCGCTGGGGTATATTTGTAGCAATAGTCAACAATACATTGTATGGGTCAAAATTATTGATTTTTCTTTTATGGCAAAAAAGGATATTATGTAAAGATCATGTTCCATGAAGATATTTTGTAACTTTCCTACCGTAAATATATCTAAACTTAATTTCTGATTAGTAATATGCATTGCTAAGAACTTCATTTGAACAACTTTAAAGATGATTTTCTCAATCTCAATTTGGATTTTTTTGCACCCTCAGATTCCAGATTTTCAAATAGTTGTATCTCGGCCGAATATTGTCCGATCCTAACAAACCATACATCAATGGAAAGATTATTTATTCAGCTTTCAGATGATGAATACATCTCAATTTAAAAAAATTGACACTTATGACTGGTTTTGTGCTCCAGGGTCACATATATATGGGTCAAAGACAAGGCGTCCCATTTGGGTGTGCGCATCAAAATAAATTCACAATTTTTTATTATATTTTAATTGATTAAAAACTTCTTGTTGACAAATGGGTCAAACCTAGTGCTTTATGTGGGCTGAACTGTGATCCTTAAACAGAGTCTTTTAATGTCGTTAATGATTCTTGATCTAAATATGCCTGACTAGATTTTTTTTTTACATGAACTATTGCTACCGTGAATTTTAGTGGCTGTCTTTTGTAAATCATGGTAAAAATGTATGATAATCATTATTTTTTGCTCAAAAATTTTTTTTTGCATTAAACAGGACGCAATATAATGTATGGGAGGGGGGACTAAGTTTTAATGTATTTAGTGTATTAAACTTTTATTTTGATTTGTTTTGAAACCCATTTTTGTATTTGACCCATATATATATATATATATATATATATATA